ACAGGCTTTGGCCAAAAGATATGAGGTAGCCCTAGAGCCGTTGGTGGGAGGAGGTGAGAGACAAAAGCACATCTCCCTTTGCTTGAGCATTACTCCATCCACTTCTGAGAATTACCCTGAAAATACAGCTTCTTTGACAGCTACCATGACAGAAAACCCCAGCATGATTCCCTCCCAAATTAATGGACTAGGAAAGAATTCAAGGGACCATCTGGTTGACCTCTCCTACTAAAGTGATAAGAACCTTGAAGGCAAAGTTCTAAGTTTCTAAAAAGGTCATCCTTGAGCAGGGGTGGCCTTTGTTAAAAGGCCCAGGTGATAGATATTTTTTGCTTTGTGGGTCAAATAGTTTCTTTTCCCACTCTCAGCTCTGTCACTATGTATAGAAGTAGCTAGGGAACATTGTATAAATGAACATCAATGGTTGTGGGGTTGCTGTTAACACCTAACTGCTCTCTTCAAACTGTTGAGTGAGAGGAGGTTCTAGTTTCTTTGTGCCCAGGCTCGTGTTTAGTTGATAAAACAAACAAAAAGACACTTTGAGCAATTGTAGCTTCAGAAGAGGTCAGAAAATACCAACCTAAGACTGTTTACCTGGTGGACAGGTTGTGGTTATATTGTTAGTTGCAATCTCACTGGGAATGATGCAGACAAAAGCAGCCTCAGGAAATCCAGAAGGATATATATATATATATACATATACATACATACATACATACATATACATATACATATACATATACATATACATATACATATACATATACATATACATATACATATATATATATATATATATATATATATATATATATGATGCTGGATATCCCAGTCTCTACAGCTAACAATCCACCTGTGCTATTGGTGAGCCCTGCTGGATCACCTTCAAAACATGCCTCTGCTGAGTCCGTTTTTGTTGTTTGTATATACATGGTTTCAGGGCTGACCACATTATACTGAACAACCAAAAGGAATATCCTCTGGATCCCTTGCAGAGGCTAGCTCCCCCTCCCTCAGAAGTTATAAATTGCCTATAATTCCTTGTCCAGGTATGTGATCCTATGAGACTTGAGACTTTCTACATTTCTAGCTAGCATGTCTATTGTTATTGCTGTGTGTGTGTGTGTGTGTGTGTGTGTGTGTGTGTGTGTGTGTGTAACAATAATACCCAGGGAAGAAGAGGTTATCAATTTGGGAGTGAGAGGTGTGGCTTGGAAGTAGTTTGAGGAAGGGGACTTTGCAGGAACTAAAGGAAGAGGAAGGGGGGAGGGTGAAGGACTTATATTTTAATTTAAAATGTATACAGACTAAAAATTAAAAAACAAACAAACACGGCCTTTAAAGCAGTGGTTCTCACCCTTCCTAACACTGTGATCCTTTAATACAGTTCTTCATGTTGCGTGGCCCCCAAACATAAAATTATTTCATTGCTACTTTATAACTGTAGTTTTGCTACATTGTGAATTGTAACCTTAATGGCAGATATGTAATTCCGAGGGTCACCACTCACTGTTTGATAACCACTACTTTAGAGTATGTGCACTTGCTGAGGGCCTACCAGTCCAAAAGGCCCACCACAAAGAAGGAACCCAGGCAAGCAGGTGTGGGTAGAGCATCCCTTAGTCTTTTCTCCAATATCATCTAACATCATATCTTGCTCTCTATCTACTTGGATGTCTCAGGAAGCTTCAAAGCTGGACCACAGTGCATCACACACATAAACACACACACACACACACACACACACACACACACACACAGAGAGAGAGAGAGAGAGAGAGAGAGAGAGAGAGAGAGAGAGAGAGAGAGAGTGATGTCAGAACCATTCAGATAAATATGAAAAACATCCCACAGAGTGGCACAGGGACCCAGATTTCAGGTAGGGAAAGATCTCTGAGCTGATGAACTTTAGCCAAATCGATAACACAACTTAGTATATCTCATCAGAAACCCATTTGTAGCCCACTGAGCCACCACCTGATATGCTCCTAAGCAGTCTTCATATACCACCTTCTATGGTGACAGTGGGAACTGGTCTGCCGAGGACTGTTTCTGGCAAGGATGCAACAGGGGTCATGGACACAGCTTTGACACTTAATGGGCACACAGACTTGGGTAAGTCATTTAATCTTCCAGCCTTATTTGCCTTATCTATAAAATAGGCTTAACTGATACTTTCTCTACAAAATTGTTCAGATGATTTGAAATAGTGGATACAAACCAAGCTCTGGCACTGGGGATTTTTACAACACATAGCATGACTATTCATGGTGCTGATAATGAGAACAAGTGGGGTAAGAGAGATGAAAGTTCACCTCACTACAGAGGCAGAGATTTGTGTGCCATTGACCTCTACAGTACCAGCAGGATGCTCACTGACAGCGAAGACAAAGCATCAAGGACCAAGGAGGTATGCAAAAAGAGAACCCATTCTTAACCTCAGTCCCAAGGAGAAGCAAGTGCCCATGTGTCTACTGGGACATTTTGCCCCAGAGGACTTCATTTTAGGAGTCTTCCTGAGTACACACATCTCTTCCAGGCTTATTCAAAAATACCATCTGTAGAACTTTCTATCCAGTGACCTAATGACTACAGCCCAAACTGTATGGACTCTATGGACTCTCCCACGCAGTATCTACAAAGGCAGCTGGATGTCAGCAAAGTGAGCTCAGAGGGGATCCTGCTTGAAAGGGCTTTAGATGAAAGGAGTTGGCATCAGACACTATGAAGGATGATGCCCATTAATAGTGTGTATAGCCACAGGAAGCCATCAAGAATGCCTCAGCTACAGTTCCAGTTACAGACAGGAAGATGCACAGGTCCTGTGAGTCTTAATGAGCATCGCCACGGTCTGAGAGTACTTGCATTAAGGCTAAAAGGCTCCATGAGGGTAGCAGCTGAGCTTGCAAGTGCACCCTGGGATGATGGCGTACCCTGTACCAGGATAGACTTAGATCATTAGAACTAGTGGATTGTAACTAGTGTTGGTAAACTTCAGACAGGAATTCTGTGGCATGCTTTCTCATTAGTCGACAAGAAATGTAGCCCACTGAAAATTAGTGTAGATATATATGAGTGAGAGTGTATGTGTGTACACATGTCCATGCATTCATGCACACCAGAGGCACATGTCCCAAATCAGCCCTTATTTTAATGGAACACAACATTCTAAAGGACACATGGGTCTCTACTTTCCTTTGTTAAGGGTTAGGAGTTATTTCTTTGAGCATCTCCTCAATCCTTGATGCTTTCTGTGGTGTTGGATATTAAGGTAGAAACTGTTGAGACTCACATGTATTTCTTCCCTTCAAGAATCCCACCTGGGGCTGATAGAGAATGGGAAATAAAGTTAAGCTTGAAGACATTCAAGAATACTAATTACTGAGTGAATGCTAGAAACTCAGAGTGGTGGTGTCACTGTCCACATTCATTGAGCTAGAAAATAAGGGGAATGTGCTCAGGGTTCTCTGAGCCTCTGTGGCCTTCTTCAAATAACAGGCTGAGGCCCTGGGATTGAGAGTCAGGCTCTAAAAGTGAGTCTGTAGGATGCATTACTTATTTTGATGATGCCAACCCCACAGAAAGCAGAGCTAACCTCCCCTAACCTACTTAAGAAAAACCTTTACAGGAACAGCCAACCTCCTTACCAAGCCATAGGGAAGCCACTCTGCTCCAAGCTGGGTGTTTGTTATCTGGCTCTGGTTATTTGCAAGGAGCCTTTGGTGAAATTTTCTAAAAGTCCAAGTGATTATTCTATACCACAAGTCAGTGTGCAGTTTCTCTGTTTCTGGAATCATCATCAATAAGGAAGATGAACTGCTCAGCTTGAGCAGTTGCCTTAAATACTAACGTGGAGTTCATCTTTGTAACACAGAATGGCTGCTTGCATTTTCCTGTATGCAATGATTCAGGCATTTCAATCGCTTAATCAATCCAAAAGCTATATAGAACTTACTTTAGAGATCCCTTGGCAGCCAATATATCTACACTTGTTAAAATTAATTATACCATTTAACATTTCCACATGCATTATAGTTTTAAGTGTTTCATGGTCATTTTTATTAATTAATAAACCCTTAATGGGCAAAATTTCATACTATAAAATTATTATGCATATGCTGCATTTTCAGTTTTACTATTATTCCTTTGAAATATTTTCCCCAAGTGGAAAGTCCATGACTCATAAAGCAGTCACTCACAGAAAGTACAACTGAAAATAGAAGTTTATTCAGAGACAGAGAAATCTATGCTGCTTCCCTCCCTCCAAGACAGACTCACTTCCTCTCCTGAAAGCCAAAGGGTCTAAGGGAAGCCTACCTGGGAGAGTCTATCTGGCCCTGAAAGAGCAGAAATAGGAACAAACTGCAGCCAGGTCCCTCCAGACACACCCGGGACACACGATTCCTTTTGCTGCTGTTTGGAAAGGAACATTCCAACTTTCCCATTAGAAAACATGCTGTAAATAGCGCACGCACGCAAACATGCATACACGCTCTTCATTCCATTATAGAACTCAGGTGTAGTTTTTAAATGTTGATGCTAACCCATTTATTAATGGTACGACTGAAAAGTGAAAACCTCAGAATTCTAGCCAGTCCCTCAATATTCAGATGTTTTATGTTTTATGAGTTTATGTTTTAAAAAATCTGGGTGTGGGTGTCATTTTATTCTACTCACCCTGCTCTAGAATGTGATGTGAGCACACTCTATTCCAGCCGCATGAGAGCCACTGTTTGCTATGGGTTGCACATGTGGCCTGCCACTACATTGTTGGGATAGGGAACTTGAGTGAAGTTCTCTTATTATCTACACATCTCATCTGAGAACATCTTCCTAATGTGACATCAGCATCAACTTATGTGTTGTTGACTTGAGGCAGAGATGACCAAATGCTCAATGTGAAAGATTTCCTGGGATGAGTTATACGGAAGAAATTCAGCAGCACTGCTTTAGCTGAACACTGACATTGGGCACCCTCCAGCAAGTGGACATCTACTCACCTGCCCTGTAACTCCAGCCAGGAATATGGATGGAGAGTTGGTCGGCATGGCTGCTAGTGGGACATGTTGCACAGTCTTCTTTCTCCTTTCTTACTGGGACCTGGTTCCTTCCCACATCTGCACATTTGACATTTTCCAGGGGAGGGGAGCCTGCCAGAGCCTTGCCACTCCCCATATGTATCGGCACCAATGCTGGGCTCTCCTTCCAGTGACCTTCCTGTGCTTGGCCCCATTGTGGATTTAAGAGGTCCTGCTTTCCCTCCAAGAGCTCTTGTGGCAGGGCTCTGCTGATTGGCTCATCATTAGCTGTGCTATCTACGCCATCTGCTGTTAACCTGTGGGAACTACAGCGGAGGCTGAGCGACAGGACAGACCTGTGCATTTTGGGGCTAGCAATTTGAGGTTGCTCAAGGGGGACAGAAAGAGACTTGTCCAAATAGTAAATGGTTTTGGGACACTGCTGAGACACCTGGAGGTGGACACAGGAACTGAACACCAATGGGACTTTTCCCGATGGTGAATTGTCTGAAGAAAAACTGTCCTCTTTGTCATCCATGTGGGTGATCCAGTACTCCTGCCTTGTACACAGCCTTGTATGAGCCCGGGGAACCTTCAGCCCCTCTATGGAGCCATTGCTAGGGAACTCTGTACAGGTGAAGGACTCATTGTGCTGACACAGATGGGTTTCCCTGGCCAGAGCTGGGGGTCCTTGGAGAAGAGCATTCTTAGCCCTGCAGTTGGGACACAGTGAGTCCCTAACAGTGTCCCATACCAAGGAGTTGGCTGGAGGGCCCACACGTCGGGCAGTAATGGTGATAGATGAGAACCCTCTGTGACGGCCTCTGCCTAGGTTGTCCCCTGTGGATAGCGGTTCTGTCTCCAATCCTAGCTCCTCCGGTGGAGTCAGAATTCCCACTCTGTCTGTAGCAAATGGCCTGTGCATGTTTACTCCACCGTGCCTGGCTGAAGTTGGCTTTGTGCGACCCAGCTGAGGCCAAATGACTGCTTGTGACAGGGGCAACACGGCTCCATTTTCCATTGACTTCTTCTGATGGGAAATGATGATGGGTGATATCATTTTTGTGTTTTGTGATGCCAACATATCCTAGAAAATAGGGAGGAAAATTGCAATTATTCCAGGAGTTCATAGGAACACAGCGAATTCTCAGGCATCAGCGAACTCTCATGGGTCATGGGAATGCTGGAGAAGGGGCACTTAGATTTCTCAGGAAAGCCTTCAAGGCACTCTTGTTACCAAATCTGAGCATTCTGAGGAGACAGAAACCTAGGTATGTTTGTGAGGAAGTACTGTTGTAGACACGTTAGTCTAATTAGGGGAAGGATGGACTTACTCAGCTGGGTGTCAGTCAGCTAGCCTTGTGATCCATCAGTAGAGACCCCTTGACTGTGAGAGTTGCTTCTGCCAGACCCTGGGACCTCAAAACAAAATCTCACAGCCTCACTAAGGAAGGGAGGCAGAATTACCAAGGTGGCTGAGAATCGGAGTTGGGGAAGTGATAGGCCAGCACTCTGGTGATGATGTCAGTGAATGTGGTAACAACGAGCCACCTCCCTAGTTTCTTCTGAAACAGTCTTTCATCTTCGCTGGTTAAGGCTAACAGTTAACTTTCTGCTTGCTTGGCCTCACAGAAGTCCAAGCTCAGAGAGCAAGACAAGGGAAATCAGATGCCCAGGTTCAGTTTCCCAGACCAGCAAACAGTTGACTTCTCTCACCAGGATGGGGTGTGCCACAATGAATGTATACCAGTATACAGAGTGTAACTGTAGCTCAATGCTACTCTGTGAGGAGCTTTTGTCCACATTTCAAATGATTAAGGAATTCCTTGCTTCCTAATTAGCAATTCCCACGATCTTATGTAAATCACTGCTGCTGTATGCAGAATAAGGCACTGTGTTTTGTTTTTCTGTTTGTTTTTGTTTTTGCACTGTGTCTAACCAGCTTAAGAGCAAGAAGGGGAATCCCTCTGTTCTTGTGTTTTCATGTAAGTGCGTTGAATGCCGCAGAAGGCTGACCACAGCCCAGCATTAGTGTGCACAGAGCCATACCCCATTTTTTATGTGTCTAAAATGAACTTGTATACAGAATTGCATAGGTCCTGAGGTCATGGTAAAGATTATATCTGTGAAAGCCAAAAGGCATCACTAGGGTACTCAGCATTCAAGGCAGCAGATCTCAAACCCTAGCATATCTGAGAATCACAGTGAACATTGTGAGTGCGGGTACCCCAGGCCCGAGATTTTGATGGTGGATGGAGTACAGGGGATTTAACGACACACACAGGACCCCTGATGTAGGTGATACAGGGAACATAAACAGAGTCACAGCTGGCCTGCTGTCATCTCAAGGAAATGCATTCACAAGGGGTGGGCTCAAGTACCATGAAACCCTGGGCTTTGCCTTTCCCAAGACATAAGGGAACAAGGGTAGGATTTGTGTCTTCTTTATTGCAGGCTTAATATTCATTTATTTAGCTAGCACAGTGATAGCACAAGCTAGAGTCATTTAGGAATGGGGACTTTCAATTGAAAAAATGACTCTATAGGATGGGCCTATAGGTGGAACCTGCTCCCCAGCCTAGATGCAATGGGGAGGAGCTTGGTTCTGCCTCATCTTGGTGTGCCATGTTTTGTTCAAGCCCATGGGAGGCCTGCCCCTTTCTGAATGGAGACAGAGGAGGATTGGATGGGCAGGGGAGGGAGAGGAGGAGAGGAGGGAGGGGAAACTGCAGTTGGTATGTAAAATAACTTTTTTTTTTTTTAAAAAAAAATGGGTCGATTGACAAGTCTGTAGTACCCATTTGCTTGATTGATGATTGATATGGAAGGACCTAGCTCACTGCAGGAGATGCAGCCCCTGGGCTGGTGTCCCTGGGTGCAAGAAGAAAACAGTTGAATGAGCCATGGGGAGCAAGCCAATAAGCAGCACTTTATGTAGCCCAGGCTGGCCTTGAACTCAAAGCTCATCCTGTCCCTGCCATCCAGGTGCTGGGACTATAGGTATGTGCTACCATACCCTGGCTCCCTCGATTTCTATGCCCTGATAACCAGAGACAGGGAAAGGAATGGGGAGTCCACTTTAAACCTCCTTCAGAGTTTAAAAACAAAGTCTTTTTGCTTCCTGGACAAGGATAGTACTTCAAGCTTCCCTTAGAGCCTTACTGCCACCTTCCAATTCAAGGTCATTCAACAGTTCAAGGTCAACCCAGTGGAGCCTGCAGTTGTGAGTGGAGATGCTTCCCCTGGCACCTCTGACACTACACTATAATACAAAACAATTACCTGTAGCTTGCAAAGCCCAGAAGCCCATGCCTCCACCTCAGAGAAATCAATAGACTCTAGGGGCTGGAGCTGGACTGGAGGAAAGTGTCTGTGCCTTTGGTGTCCAGCAGGCTTTCTGTGCTTCTGCAGTAGGTACCTTCCCCTACTCCACCCTTCTCCCTGCAGCACTCTCACGGCTGTGATTTGCATACAAGAAAATGACAGTGCACCTGGAGCCCATTTGACAGTACACGGTCCCTCCCATCCTAGTTAAATTTAGTTCCGATAATAATTGTTCCTGTGCACCCCACGATGGGAGTAATCATACCCAGTGGGAATTCCTTTGACATTGATCTTTGGGGGGAAAAAAACCTAGCTTGAAACCTGCAGTGTTGCTCTTACTCGACAGGGCAATGCTTCCTCAAGTTTGGACCAGTGACAACCTGCCCTCAAAAATCTCATGGGGTGGGGGTAGAGATCCCTGAACACCTTGGTCTCCAGGTGTAAGTTGAATCAGGACCTGTGGGGTTGAGGGTCAGAATCTATATTTGTAACCAGCTCCTGGGTGGCCCTTGTGGGGTGGGGGTTCATGGATATGGAGGAAGGAAGCTGAGCCGACTTAGGTGACCTGGGACCCATCCTCAGTCATGGCTGTCAGAAGCCTCAGACCTCAGAGAAGCCTTGATTTTCAAAGCTATATTGCAGGAAGATTGAAATGGAGTCTGTTAAGATGCACCCTCTCTTGTACTGGAATCACCAATGTCAAAGGGCCCCCATCATGGGCTCAGGCTCCTGTGGGAGCAATATAGCATGGCTATATTGCTAGGAACAAAGAGTTGCCAGTTCAGCTTGGAACCCCACAGAAAAAAACCATGATACTGGCAGTGGCAATCTGGTTCCTCCAGGCAGAGCTCAAGGACATACTTGCTGAAGGCTTTCTTGGGGCTACCGGCCTTGGGCATCATTCCCAAAGGACCTAGAGGCTCAGAAGAGCCTGGATAAAGAGCCAGAGACCTGGGAAGTATGACTGTGATTTTTGACTCCCATCAAAAGAAAGAGGAAAGAGTGATAATGAAAAGTGTGAATCTGAACTTATTTCTCGAGTTCTTGTGTTACTCAGGTGACACTCTTCCTGGGTGAATACACTCTGACCAGCACCATGCCCAGGAAGAATTGTCTGCCTTTGCTTCTTCACAGGGAAGGTGTGAAGAACAAAAAGAGATGACAGTGTGACATTGTCTCTCAAATCATAAGCCTTGCTTTGGTTTCTTTTTCTTGCTGTAATAAAATACCAGGGCAAAAGTAATGGAAGGAAGGAAGGGAGGAAAGTAGGGAGGGAGGGTAAAGGGAGGAAGGGAGGGAAGGAGGGTGGTAGGATAGGTATATTTAGCTCAAAGTTCAAGATACAGTTCAGCAGTAGCACCATCTAGAAGTAGCTGGTGACACCATGTCTTCAGTAAAAAGGCCCAGGATCCAACCCCTCTGAAATGGTGCCACCTACAACTAAGATGAGTCTTCCCACATCGATTGACTGAAGAGAATTCCCCCAAAGGTTTGCTTAGAGTCCCATCTCCTGGGTGATACTAGGTTTTGTCACATTGACAATTAACACTAATTATTACAAGCATTTGTATAAATTACTTTTCCCATGACTTAGCAGAAATTAGTTGAGACCTGATGTGATCTCAGCAGCCGAGACATTTCATCCAACTTACACTTGTCCATAACTGCTTTGCAGTGTTGCTTGTAACATTACAGTTATAGGCAAACCATATGTTTAATGATCCGGATGACAAATATTTATTGAACACCTATTAATACTACATGCCAGGTGCATGTTGAGTAACAGAAACCACTGTGGTTCCCTGGAGGTAATGTCCAAATATTCAGGATATTCATTAGACTGAATACTAACCAAAGATCCCCCAAATAAAATTAGAGGCATTAAGAGGGAAACGAGGGACTTTCCAACCTTTAGCATACACAATACTTGTGTAAGGGAAGTTTTATTTATTGAATCTCATTTTCTTACTGAGACCAATAGATAACCAAATAGAACATATAACCTAGCACTGGGGAGATGGCTTGGTTGATGAACTGCTTCTACACAGGCATGGGAGCTTGAGTTTGGATCTCTAGCATCCACATAAAAAGCAGGACATGATGACATGTGCCTATAACCACAGCACTAGGGAAGCAGAGCCAAGAGGATCCCTGGGACTTGCTCACCAACTAGTCCAGGCAGAATGATGGAGATATTATCTCAAAAACTGAGGTAGAAACCAGTCAAGGAAGACACTGATATCAACCTCTGGCTTCTACATGCACACACACACACACACACACACACACACACACACACACACACACAAACACACACACACACACACACACACACACACACACACACAGACACACACACACACACACCCGAGAAGAAGAAGGGACATTATAAAAACACAGATTGTCTCAAATCAAGCTATTTGGGGTGACACTCCCTCTGCCTTTTAACTAGGTTAACTAAAGGTGACTTTGAAGAGAGATACCTTTCATGTAAAATAAAGTTAAAAGATATAAGACTAGATTTGAAAGGATGGAGAAAGCCATGTGGTATTGAAAGAGATGTGTGTTCAAGGTGAGTGAAAGCCAGGCTGGGTTTGGGTCTGGCTTTGGCAGCAGACTGTCTCCTGGCCAGCATCTTCCCACATAATTTCTGCAATCTCTTGCTCATAGATGCTAATATTGATTTCTTTTAAATGCTTTTAAGATATTGATTTATTTTAAATGTTTCCAGCATGATTTTGTAGAGCTGGTAACTGTTTTCATGCTTCTTTTATCGACTGTGTTTGCTTTTTATTTATGCCTTAAGGCATACGACTAAGAAGGGCATCGTTTCCTAAATTGAAATAAGAGGGAGATAAGTGGCAGGTACTCAGAACAATCCTACCCAGAGCCACTGAGGTGAAAATGACTTTCTTCCCGCAGCAATTTATATCTCTGAAGGAGAAGCATGCAGTCTGGTCTGGACCTTTAAAATATGTATTTTTTTTCCCCTGGGTGAGACAGTTCTTTCCTTTGCTGGTATAGCTCTGCAACCTATGGCTATATTTTCCAGATTCGAATCTATCTCCTCACAGATACCTGCTGCCACTGTTGCCTTCACCCGCTGCATATCTGCTTACCCTCATAGGACAGACCCAGAAGCATCATTGCTGAGTAATCTATCAACCCTGTGCTACTTCGTTCCGCATACAAGGGCAATTTAGACTTGCATTTACTCTGCTGAGAAGCAACGGGAACTCAGGGAACTCATCAGGAAGCCTTTGTCTTTCTGTGTAGTCAGTAAAAACCAGAGGATTCAGGTGGGTAACAAAGCAGTAAAAAACTGCCTAAAATCAACCTTTCTGCCATGTTTTTATTATGGCTAATAGATACAAGGGTCGCCATCTTAAGCATTCTAAGTGTGCTTCCCTGCTGTCAAATGCATTCTATAATGGTGTACAGCTCTCACCATCCATCTCCAGAAGTTATCTAATAAAACTAAGATTCTGTACCCAGTAAATAAATAGTTCCCACTCCATCCTCCTCACAGCCACTGGAAACTAACAAGAATCAATGCTTTAAATGGGGAGAAGGCAGTTGGAAATCATAGTATGTGCAAATACTTCATAGAGTCTGAAGAAATTAAAAATAAAAAGTGGTGGCACAGGCCTTTGCTCCCAGCACTCAGGAGGGAGAGGCAGGCAGAATAGTATCTGCACTGGGTAGTTTTTGTTAATGACACAAGCTGTAGTCATGTGCAAAGTGAGAATTCAGTTGAGAAAATGACCCCATCATATTGGTCTATGCGTATATCTGTGAGACATTTTCTTGATCAATGTTTGATTTGAGGGTTCAGGCCCAGCCCATTGTGAGTAGTGCATTCCAGCGCAGGTGGGCCTGGGCTATATAAGAAAGCTAGCTGAACAACTAGGGGAGCAAGCCAGTAAGCAGCACTCCTGTATGCCTCTGCTTCAGTTCCTGCCTCCAGGTTCCTGCCTTGAGCTCCTGCTCTGGCTCCTTTTGATGATGGATTGTAACATGAAAGCCAAATAAACTCCTTTCCAAGCTGGTTTTGTTACAGCAATAGAAACCAAACTAGAATAGCATCCTTTATCTTGAGAGATTGAGTCTAGGGATTCCTGGATGAGCTGTAGATCTATAGTAAGTGCAGAGTTAAATAAAAGACACTTTTTTTTTTTTTTAGGAAGAATCCCAAATAGACATGTTTCCTATTTAAATCTGTTCTAAGGAAACATCTATAAGACACAGAAGGTGAGCTCTACCCTGGGGCAGACCTCCAGAGCAAAGGCAGAATGGATAGGCCATGGGCCCAGCACTTTAGGTGCTTCAAGGTTTGCATGTGTGTGATGCTTGGCTCTACATTGAAGCTTTGTTTTGGCTTCTGCACAAGGGTTCATTATCAGGACCCCCCCACACTCCAGGCCTATAGAAGCATCAAATGAGTCAACTAGTTATGCAGAACCTGGCATATAAACTGGCTGTGTTAACCACTATGTGCAGAATTCTTCACCTCCTGGTTTGAATCACTTCGTTATACACATATGACTTCTACTTTTTGTCTCTATTACACACTACTGATACTTCTTCCAGATAAAACAACCTGTACTGGCTTGTTGTATTTCAAAGTACTCCCTTCTGACCTTCAGGATGCTACATAGTTTGGTATTCTGACTCCCCCTCTCCTACTTTAAAATCGAGGTAGACTCATCATACTCTCCTCTGACACTACAAACTTAAAAATTGTTGGTGAAGATTGTAGAAAAGCCACTTTGAGTGCACCTATATATTCTATACTTTCCTATAAAGTTCTTATAAAGTTTCCTATAAAGTTCACTTGAGTTTGGGTTTTTCCCAGATTCATCAATTCAACATTCTATTAAAGAAAATAAACCACACCCTATCTCAAGCAGGCAGGCAATTGTGTTTTATAGTCCAGCAACTTTTGCCAATCAGCCTGGAAGTCACAAACATAGGTTACCTTGGCGAAGTCCGACTTCCTCTCTGTAACATCAGACTGGAGATTTTTAAGGGCGAATTGATCATTTGTACTATAGCGCGTGTCCAGTAATCCTAGACAAAAGGAGACGACACGGCTACTTTTAGTACACCAAAGGATAAAATAGAATGTGCAACTTCAGCTTTCCTATAAAATTTAGTTCCCACTCACATAATATACCAGCCAATAGCAGCTCCACTATATTACAAGCCATGACAAAACCTGTGTCCTTTCTTCATTGTTCCAGCTTCTTCTGCTCTCGGAGCTCATTATTATTGATTTGGTTACAAGAGTCCTTCCCCCATACAGTTGTTTCAGTTCTTTAGATTTGGTAAGTGGTTGACCAGATGTGGCTCTAATCATGTTTCCATTGTCTCAAGTTTATACTCAGAGTGGGCGGGGGAGGAAAGAGGAAGAGAGGGAGGGAGGAGAGAGAACCCACATTTCTACATTTCCCAGCACCTCTAGCATCAAGGCATAAATACAAGACTGACTTTGACCAGTTTCTCAATGCATCCATAACTAGAGGGACAGTGGGTGACCAGGCACTGGCTGCCAAGTCACTTTTAGCGAGTATGAAGATATTTGGGGGGTGACATAAGGGGCTTTTGCTATAAAGACAACTAAGGCTGTGGTCAGGCCCAAATGTAGATAAAGGTAAATGGACAAGATTTCTCTTGGTTTAAGCTTTCTGTTAGATGGAATCTGCCCTATCTGACTCCTGGAGTCCCAAGCAGAGATAGTTTTGGGAAAAGCATCTATGGATGAAAGCAAGGAGCAGTCCTGGGGCAGAACTGAGACAAACTTAGCTACTGATCCACAGTAACAGTAACCCTGAGATCTTTCACAGTAAAATTTTCCAGGATTCTTAAAGAAATGTGAATCTGGCATAGAAGATCTGACTGGAGGTGTCTGTGCAAGCATAGCCAGCGATCTACTCTCTCTAGACCAGGGGCAAAACTTTGTCTCCCCAAGGCCACATTCTATAGAATGTGGCTGTTGAAAACACTGCAATGGACAATGCTGGTCCTAGAGATTAAGCACCAAGATATTTAAATTTAACATGCTATTTCAGAAATCTAGAATATAGTAGAATCTGGGTAGAGGTGAATACTCCATCTCCAGTACCATAAGAAGATAACTGGCTTGTTCAGATAGAGGTTAAAGCACCTTTCTGAAGAAAATCATATACCACAGTACTGTCAAGTTTGAAAGATTTGGGAAGGGGTCAAGATTTGACTCTAGGGAATTTTCAAGGTTCACCTCTAACCCACCCAAAGACTGCCTTCATTACATCCTGTCTTTGAGTGACAATGAACTTCCATCATGACTGTCACTGAATGACAGCGGGTCATTCAAGGTGACACACACTTATTACTTTCTGTGTAGCACTAATATCAAACCTGAAGTGTTTGGTGGGTTTCTGTGCAATGCTGATGCTTCAGAGGACCTGACTCTGAGGCTGATAAAAACAGAAGTTACCTGGCCTGCTTGTGTAGAATTGGCACAGTTTTGGGGACCAAATGGGGTATTGTCTGCTCATGTTTGGCCCTAGCTGACCCTCAGTGAATCAGCTAGAATCAGCTATGGATCCTGCCTTCATCCATAAATGTGGACAATGGTACCTCCTACAGAGACAAAGGCCTTGCCCTCACTGCCCTGGGAAATTCTTATCAAAGCACTTGGATGAAAATGGAGTATCAGGTAAATCTGATAAATGGCAGAGGGTGCTACTGTTACAGCACAGGTCAAGGTGGTTCTTGCCAAAGTCCAGCATCACTAATGTGGTAGCACCAGTAGTCAACCACTAACACTGGACCACAGAGTCCCAGGGCTTGAGTTCCAGCTCTGGGTACATGGATAGCTTTGGGTACACTGCTCGACATGCTCTGGTTCCTCCCTGCATGATGGAGAATATGGAGGTGACTACTTCACAGGGATACTGGAAAAAATGAGTGACACAACTAATTTGATTTCAGTACAGTGTGCAAAACATAATATTACATCATAATAATCATTCACTATTGGGAATAGCCTCATTTCTAATAGGGAAAAAGAGAGGTTGCTAGAATTGGGAAGCATGAGTGATTAAGTACGAGCATCCTATGCCTGTTATAACAAATGGCCACAAGACCAATGCATCCTCTGGAGATCAAGTCCAACACTGGGCTAAAATCAAATGAGCAGCCAAGCATTGCTATCTGAGGGTGCTGGGGGAAATTATTCTCTTTGACCTTCCTGCTAGACACTCCATATTCCTTAACCTATGCCTGCCTCACTCCGGCTCTTGCTAGTGTCCCTTCTCCTTGATTCTTCCCTATTGTTTCCTTTGAACAAGGGTTCCTGGACTAAAGTAATCCCACCTGGACAATCCAAGGCAATGTCTCCATCTCAAGGGTGGATCAGAACATGGATATATTTGGGGGTACCATATTTCTTGTAGCATAGTAATTGGGGAGATTCAGGTAGAGAGACTGAAGAACCTTTAACTATGCATACATAGTATGTCTCTGTAACAACATAGAAAAACATGATGACATACTATGAAAAGGAACCAAAAACCTATGACATTAATACAGTGTATGAGGCAACATATAAAAACTGTAAAGTGACTGGTGGAGAAATGGCCTTGGGTGAAAAGAACCGACTTAGGTTGTAGGACCTGACCAACTGAAGGGTTCATACCCAGTTAGGCTTTGTGTCTGGAAGACACCCAGCTGAGTTATTAGCTGTAGCCATGTGGCTATACACACTTTTTTCCCCCTCACTGCTTCTGTTTTCTCCATCTGCAAAGTCAGAATATGGGGCTGATGCTGCTGAGCCCCTCAGTCATCTTTGCTGGATTGCTACTCCATCCCTTTGCTGGATTGTTACTGTCTATTTGCTGGATTGTTACTCAGTGCCTTTGCTGTTAGAAATGTGCTGCCAATAATACAGAGTCCCTCTCTTCCATGAGTATAATTATTCACATTGGACCATAACTATGTGATTATGATATAAAAGGCCATGACAGAATATTGATAAAAGGCCAAAGTTGACCTTGGACAATGCCTTCACTCAGGTCCCCCTCTACTAAGTACCCTTCGCTTGCCTGTGGATCACCTCTTGGAGAACGCTCTCTGTATTCTTAAGCCCTCAATCTCTGTCTTAGGACTTTGCTTCTTGGGGGGGGGGAAGGCTATGACGGCTAACAACACCTCTTTTCTATCCCCTAGTACAGTTTTTCCAAGTGTGCCCCTCCAGCAACAGAGCCAGCATTAGAGAAGTTGATAAGAAACATTTGTTCGGGTGGTAACATCCCCCAATCCACCAAATGAGGATTCTATTGGGGAGCTTAGACATCCATCCAGGCTTTAGTCAGTTTCTCAACACACTTGAAGTCGCTCAAGTTCAACATGGTCTTAAGGCTAGTAACATCCCTTACAGATAAAGTCTGATGACTGAGAAGGGAACCATGATGTTTTGATTTGAAAACTACTCTGCAACTTGCAAGGAGCTGTGCCCCACCTGAAAGCAAGATGATCAAAGGAGGCTTCAATTAGTATAAACCTATTGCAATGTCAAGCAGCTGATATTTATGATGCAGCTAGTTAAAATCATCCAACGATCCACAGTGATCTTGCTGGTGTATGGTATCAGGTCAAGAAGAGTATGAAGATTATCATAGGACAATTTAAACAAAAAAGACAAATGGAAAGGGGCGGGGAGAAATTGGACAACCAAGCAGATGACAAAAGCAAGGGGGAAAGTGGATCAAGGTAAAAATAAAGACAAGAGTTAGTCACATTTGATGACTTGTAGGATGTGCATATAGAATATTAAATTCCGTGCACTGTCCAACATGACTTGAGTTGTCCCTACAAACAGCTGACAAGAGCCATTGTGTATAGCCTAATGAATCAATCCATCAATGCCACGGGCAAACAGGGGAGTGTATGGGTCCTGGGTGTGTGCCTGAGTACACTTCCTTTCACATCTAAGCTACAGTGTCAGAAGCAAGGTACACTGTGACCTCTCTCCCTGTAATGGTGGGTTTTGTAGAAAAGCATTTCTAATTTGACAGGAGTCAAGGCTTACTCTTGATTGCCTTAACAACTCATTTCACATTTCATAAAGAAAAACCACTTTTAAGAGTTAGATTTCACTGTCTCTGGGATTTAACCTCAGTTAAGCCTCTAGAGATTTCTTTCCATTTGGAATGTCTAGAACAACATGGTCTTTTGTCAGTTTTTCTGGATTCTCTCCTTGATGCCATCTGTTCACTTCTGCTTCTTCTTAACATGCCAGGGGTCCAGGTCCCTTTGATGATCATCACCTTTAAGCTCAGCTGCTCCAAATGACCCCTGACTCAGCTTTTCCCAAAGAGGAATCAATGAACTTCCATAGAGTTCACCAATCCACCCCTCTTGCCTATGTCCTTGGTGAGTGCTTATACCCACCTCTTCCTACAGTACAACCAGAAGTATTGCCCTTTGCATCCCTGCCTTCTCTCACTTCCAGGGTACTCCCAGAAGGCAGCACTGATCTTGTGGAAAGGCTCCTCTCCATTGCATCAGTATACTTTACCTGTGCTCTCTGCTCTTGGCAAGCTCACTCCTGGGCCAGTGGCCACCAACCACACCTCCTGGCAAGCTTGGCTAAAGCCCCTTAGCACCACCAGCAGTGACCTCAAACAGAGGCCCCATGGCTTAGGAAATGTAACACTTGGGTGCACATGTATGGGCCCCCAGAGACTCAAGAGAAGCAGAACAGGAGCCCTTGAAACAAGCCTACTTCACATCCTGGAAGTGGGTACCCTGAACTTCTTCACAGTTTGAACTGTCTCACAACTTGATTGTACATACTTCCTCCAGCATTTCCTTAGGCTAGCTCCTACCCCCTCACCCTTGACATGGTGCAAAGTTACCTCCTCTCAGAAGGACTCTCTGAGACGCTCCTATCTGCACATCTAAGGCTGTGTTAGAGTCTAGACAGGTTGTCCGTAGATGGCACAATGGATTGCCATAAACCACGAGGCTCACAGCAACAATAATTTATTCTCTTATAGCCTGAAGGCTGGAAACTGAGGTGTCTGTAGGGGAAAGCCGTGCTTCCCCTGAAGGCTCCAGGGAAGGGTCCTTCTTGTGACTGCCAAACTCTGGATGTTGTTGGAATCCCTTAATTTCCTTGACTTATGGCCACCTGGATAAGACCTCTGCCTCCATCTTCCCACAGCCATCTTTCTCATGGGCTTATGCCTCTGAATCTTTTTGCTCTTGTAAAGATACTAGGTCTAGGAACTATCCTAATCCAGTGTGAACTCCCTTAACACAGTCATATCTTCAAAGACTTTGCTTTCCAATGAGGTCACACTCAAAGGTTAAGCCTGAAACATCTTTTAGGGAGAAACAAATCAATTCACAGCCCTGTCCAAGACAAGTGTTATGACACATGCTCCTGTACTTGCTAATCAGTCTGATTTTTACTAAGATCTCATCTTTCTCTGGAACCTGGTACTGATGATTTCTGGCCAGTTGAAGATAACAAGTATATACTAGACAAGCATAACATTTATACTCTGATATTTCTGAGGGGAAAGCCAGAACATACCTTCCCTATACAGTTTGATCATATCCCACTGATGTTTCAAAGCCATCTTACTTCATTTCAAAGACCATCTAACAACCAAGACATGCTTTGCCAAATCAAAGAACGTGGCTATAGTTTATATCTGTTGCTACTCTCAGAATGAGTCAGGCTTCCAACCTTCCATCCTGGCCTGGCTGATGCAATCATTGGAATGTTTTCCTAGCAACCTGGCAGTGTGTAGCCACCTCAAGGTCTCTTCTTGTCACCACTAATTTGGGGTTAACATCTGAGGCTCATTTGACAAGTACAAGGAGTTTCATGAGAATTGTTTAAAAGCTTCCTGCAAAGGAACAATTAGACCCAAGAAAAAACCCTTTAAGTAGTGCCTGGAGTCAGAAGATTTCTTCCCAACCTGCTCCTATTTTCTTGTGTTTTACTTGCTGTGACAATGTTAGTTACTTACTAAGCAGTGAGTGAGTCTGTGTAAAAGTTCCTCAGGAGGGCTACAGGGATGTCTCAGAGGTTAAGAGCATGGACCACTCTTGCAGATGACCTGAGTCGGGTTCTTAGCATCCACACCAGGGGGATCACAACCACTGGTAACTCTATCTCTGGAGCATCTAACACCCTGTTCTGGACTCTGTGGAGACCTGCATGCACATGTATACATATATACATAACTTTAAAAAATAAATCATTTTTAAAGTTTCTTAGGATTAAATATACTCATAACATCACAATGCTAAACTTTAATTTACTTATTACTAGTTTGTATAAGCTGGTCTAGCTCAAGTTCAACAATATAACATTCCATCTACTGTAATAGCTATTATGGTTGGCTTTTAGACAGTCAAATAAACTATCTTTGACCCTAAGAAGAACATTATCTCATAATTTATATGTGATTCAGTTTCAAGTGGCTTCCCTTATCTAGCAAGGGAAGTAGTCCACCACACAACTAGAGTCTTAGAATTGCAGATGCTATCAACAGTCTGCATAACTATGCCTTTCCTGGGAGACCTATGACTAAGTGCAATTTAAAAATCAGACACAATACTAGATTGGCAACAGTGACCAATGATCAAGCATGAACAATCACAATAATATGCTACAGTAAAACTCTGTGTGTGGTGGGAGGTGCATGGAGGTGGAGGCCAGAAGATAGTCTCCATTATCGATCCTTGGGTACCATTTATACTGTTTTGTTTGTTTGTTTGTTTTTTGAGACAGGGTTCTTTTGTTGGCCTAGAACTCACCAAGTAGGCTAGGCCGACCAGCCAATAATCCCCATGGCTCTGCCTATTTCTGTTTTCTCAGTGTTGGGATTACAAGTATGCAATATCATCCTGGTGCTTGCGTGCGTGCGTGTAGGTGAGTGTGTGTGTTGTATATGCCCATGTGTGTGTTGGTATACATGCCTATGTGTGTTGGCAGAGGCCAAAGGAGGGTTCTCTATCACTCTCTACTTTATTCTTTCTTTTAACTTCTTTTTTTTTTGTTTTGTTGTGTTTTTTTTTTTTTAATTTTTTTCAAGGCAGGGTTTCTCTGTGTAACAGCCCTGGTTGTCCTAGAACTTGCTCTGTAGCCCAAGCTAGCCTCAAATTTACAGAGACTGCCTCTGCCTCCCAAGTGCTGGGATTAAAGGTGTGTGCCACCACTACCTGCCTACCTTATTCTTTTGAGGTAGCTGAACCTGGATCTTTTCATTTTCCAGATGGAATGGCAGCCAGCAAACCTCAGCAATCCTCCTACTTCCAACCCACTCAGTCCTGGGATTACAGGCATGCACAAGACAATGCCCCTCCCCCCCCGGGTGTCAGTATGGGGGCAGTTATACACATTCATGGGACAATGCCTAGCTTGTGACATGGGTGGTAAGATCTGAACTCCAGTCCTCACTCTGCTCAGTAAGAGCTCTAACCACTGAGTTAGCTCTCCAGCCCTAATTCTGGTTTCTTTGTTTAAAAAATGAAGGTCCCGGGGAATTAAACTCAGGACCTCATGCTCATGCGCCATCCTCTTCACCCACTGAACCATCTCCTCAGTGCATGTAACACAACTTCTAAAACATGGTTGTTTACTTTTGTAATTTGCCACATGATACTCTTAGACTAGGGTTGGTTACAGGAAACAGACCATACTCAGTGAAGCCACAGGTAAAGGGAGACAATTGTGGTCAACAACATAGTGAGGTGTTTGCTATTTAAGCTGTGACAGAAGCTAGTAATGCACTACAGAAGTTAGTGAACTGAAACCCCCCAGGCTGAGGTGGCCCTGGCACACATGAATCACTACTCAAGCATGAGATGCAGTGATCAAGGCCAAAGGGGAGATCTAGCCAGCTGCATAATTCAGGACCTTCAATGAAATGGATCATTTGGGATGGTGACAGCTTTATGCTCTGGGATGAGGCATCCACACCATGGTCATTATCATGATGAGCAGTGCCTTTGTAAGCAGGTAGGTAATATGAACGTCACTGGCTGAACCCGAGGTATGTCACCATTAGGTCCCAATGGCTGAACTGGATGGAGGGCTGACCTCAAGGCAGGTATTGGCTAGGCATCATCCATATAGTTTGTCAATTATGGAGTAAAATAAGACATTTAAAAGTCCTATGGATTTTTCAGTCCCAGGGAATATAACTGAGTGAGACTACCAGAAGGTGAGGCACAGTCCCTTGGAAATCTGATGCAATGGTTCTGCTGCTAAGTGGCAGGAATGTGAGTCTCCTCTGGGGGGACAGCATAAGGGCACTGTCTTCAACTGTGAAGGGCTCCCAACATGATAGTCATGACAAATCCCACATTCATGGTGGGGCTTTCTCACAGGTACAGCATCAGTACACATACACCCTCACAGCTTTGGTGCAGTACAGTACCAGAAGAACATAGACACACAAAAGTCCCTGTCCCTGAAGAGTCCATAGCCTAATGAGGGGGATGTGACATGAAGATCTGTGCCTCTTAAGAGTGACTTTAAAAAGTTGTTGTAAACATACATAATGTAACATTTCCCATCTCTTTCATTTTCAAACATGAGATTTGGTGGCACTAAGAGCAATCATGTTGGTACACAATAGTCACCATCATCCAGCTCCTAAACTAAAGCCATCCTGACACAATACCAACTCCCTGTAGACACTCCTCTCAGCCCCTGCCTTTCTGAGTTGAACATACAAGCATCATATGTGACTCATATAATATAACATGCTCAGGTTTATTCATGTGTTAGAATTCCCTGTTCCTTTGAAAGCCAAATAGCATCCTATTTACAGATAGACAGCAATCTGCCTATCTATTTGTCTACTAGCTGGCTCTTAGGATGCCTGGGCAGTTTGGCTTCTTGAGTAATGCTGAATTCAGTGGATGCACAAATATCTGAGTTCTGGTTTCTCATTCTTAAAGCTTCCCTTTGCCTTTCATTCTGTAACTCTGTCTTGATCTTATACAATATTGTCTTAGGTAGACTGCAGTTTGTTCTTACATGGAGACCAGGGGACAATCTTGAGCACCATTTCTCAGACTTCAGTTTCTGACAGTGTCATTCATTGGCCTATAACTCACTAGGATGATGAGAAGGCTGGCTATCCAGCCCAAGGCAATCACCTGCCTTTGCTTTCCCCACATTGAGGGTACGTCAAGTACAATTGTGAGCAGCTTTTTAATGTTGGTTATTGGGGGGTTGAACTCAGGTCTTGCAATCTCCCCCAGCCCTACAGTACCTTGAAAAGTCTATAGGGGGAGAGAGGTAGATACAAAGACCATAGTAGCAGTCATATGAAAGCCACCATTTTAAGAAAGTTATCTTTTTCTCCTAGACTACTGCCTTCATGGAGTGAGAGGGAAATGGAAAGTGGGGTCATGATTAAGACCCTGGTTGGTGGTGACAGATGGCTGTAACCAAACATAGGCAGTTAGTGTTGCGTGGCCCACACTCCTTCAAAATGGATTTGGAGATGAAGGGGAGGCTTCTCTTTTCATGAGTAGTCTGCAGAGTTAGTGGGCATCCCCACTCAGGGAAACCAGGGCCCAGGTGTGGGTACTAACCCTGTCACTCCTCAGGAACTTTTGTGAAGAACCATGACTCATGTAGTAGGAAGACTTGATGGAAGAAGATGGAAGAAGAGACCCTTGTCTTTGTTCCTCTGGCTCCATGAGGACACACCATGGTCATCTGGGAAGAAAGAGTCCAGGCAGGCAACAAGAACACTAGGTTCCTGACACCACTCAGCTGTAGCCTACAGGTTGGTGTCTCTCAAGGGCTCAATGCCCCATCTCTGTTTAGACTGCAGAACAATGCCCTGTTCTCTCATGGAGTTCTGTCCTACCATGGCTGGGACATGAAGTGTTGAGGACATGTGAGCTGAGGCATATGAGAGAGGATGGCATTCTCTACTTGACCTTTGTACTTTTATGAATAAGAAACTGGTCTAATTTGCATTGGGCTTCTTATACTATGTTTTCTTCTTCATCAAGCATGCTGAACACAAGTCATTATTATACCATATTGAAGTCATTCAGCCATTTTATTTCAGGAGAAGCCATTATCCAGGTAGGTATTTCCAAAAATCTAGGGACAATGGTGACCAAGTAGAGGCATCCTCCTCTCCAGCTTTTAGCCTGAGTGACATCCAGCCTGTAATAGGATCTCAGTTGCCCAGGTCATTAGGCATAGACAGGCAGCTTCCTAGAGGATAAGCAAGGATGATTAGACTCTAGTTCAAGGCTAGAGGATGACCAAACACAGGGACAGAAAATGGGATAGCTTTGAAACTGCTTCAAAAGAGGACCAGAGGTGGCCTAAGCCCAGCTGCCAAGTATGTACTCCAGGGACATCAGAGGAACCAGTCAACTCAGGTTCATTAGAGAAATAAGATGCAAAAATATTCTCATAAGATGTCAGGGTGGAGCAACGTGACACTTGGGTATGGGACTAGTGGCTTCTTATTGTCAGTCTGTTTGGCTGAATTGGCCAGAGCAGCAAGCCTGGTTCCTGGAGCCCACCGAGATGATTACAGGCTCCACCAAGAGCTGGACAAATGAGGCTGGCACAGCGTCTAAAAGCCTCACGTGGTAAATCTCTCATTAGAAGAGCCATTAGCTGCACACAGCACATCAAGTGGCTGGGGTAGCGAGCGGGGAGAGGCAACATCACT